GCTTCTCAGTTCAAGGAACAGGAGCACTTAACATCTCCTCCCCACAAACACGGCAATGAATACAATTTGGTACGAAAATGTTCTCATCGAAAAGTTAATCACCTCAATCGACAATCAATTTCCTGACCAAAATTGCCTTTTCCAGCACGATTTTGCTTCTCGTCGAGCCGGTGATATCAAAAACCTTCTTCAAGATTTTTGGCATTGAAGAATTGACACATTGGCCTGGAAATTCTCCAAATTCGAGCCCTATTATATGCACGTTAACGACATTGGTTTCAACTTATCCAGTGCGAAAATATATAAAAAAAACTATATATTTAGATCGTCACACTCTTCAATTAGAATATTTTACCAGCCTGCATGGCATGAAAGTGGGCATAGAAGCAACGCCTGACGCAACTGGGATTCGGTTTGGCTGGCATATGAGAACGCTCTCTGTCGAAACATTCCGTTATTAGAAAAACAAACGTTGAGAAGGCTCATGTACAAAGTTTAATTTTCCAATAGTTCATTATTAAAAGTTTGGGAACTATGCTCAATCATTCCAGCGTATTCCTGAAATAACAACAAAAAATAGCAATAAAACAAAATCTGTTGGAGTAAAAAATTCGGTTTCAATTTTTTTCAATGCGATATCCAATATTTACTAAACAATAATACGAAACATAATTTTATTGTAGGAACACAAATACGTTGATGTACACCATTTACATATATATATAAAATTTATTTTACTTTAAATTCAAAAGTCATCACTTGTACCAATTTGATAACTAAACTCGCAAGTTCGATACATTGTAGTTTTAAAAATTACCACTACAGTTGACTTACTCGTATACACTAATTATTGTAAGGTTACTATTCACAAGTGTAAAAAGACTAATAAAGTGTCTGAAATCATTTAGCCTTGGCAGAATTTGACAATTGAACATGTTCCAAGATATATAGACTTTGATAATAATTCATCTTTCCTAACGCTTAACCGGTTGGAGTGGACCAAATAATCACGAACAACCTCCCACTCAATCCGTGAAACACGATTGAATCTGGTGTGAGGTGCTAAAGTTGTGTCATTTTCGCCATATAGGACGGCGTAAAAACGTTTTAATTTCCGTTGTCATTACCCTGTTACCTGGGGTTGTATATACTATTTTTATAGCACAACCTTCCTGCGTACATGATCTTTATTCTCATTTTCAATAATATATTGAGAAGGCAGGTAGAGCATTAATTTTACTTTGTGTTAGTTAATATTGTACTTTTTTATTTCTTTGCAGTATTACAGAATTACAGTATTACACGAATTCAACCAGCAAGTGCAACAGTCTGATCAAAGTGTTCATTGAATTTATCTGCACCATAGAGTAGGCATCATCACCTGTCCATGTTCCTCTCTATTCGCTAATTCTGAAGTACTCATTTTTCTCTCTGGTCTCAAATTCTTTACTATTCCTTATCCCCACAACTAGCAATTTCTTAACTACCCATTTTGGCACAATCCTTGACGTCTCTCATAAGCTGCTGATCCCATGTAATAAACTATGTAACTTTGTTTTTAAGTCTGTTTAATAAAACTTAGAAAACGCCAACTTTGATTCCCCATAAGTTAAGTAGCTGCAATGGACAAATACAAACTGATGACGAGTTCATCACACCCGCATAACTATAGTCAAACTGCTACAACCCGCAATCACTTCGGCACGGTATCAACCGTCGTGGTTATTTTCGAGTCGCTGGTATTGTAGTGTAATGTTGTATGTAGGCTGCAAATTCCCTACTTGCATTCAGACCGTAGAGATTAAGTATACCGGTGCTGATGTAGGCCGAGGCTGGTAATAGTAGCTGTGTCAATTTCGGCTTGCGTGTTGGCGCCTCGCTTACAGGGGGATTACCTGACCATCGCCTAGGTGAGCTGTATTTTGCGTTACTGTTGAATACTGTTACTGTGTTATGCGTTACCGTGTTTCGTGTTAATGTTCCTATGCCTTTGTGTGTGTTTACTTATAGGTGGCTTATATTGTAAATAATTAATCTGGCGTCATGTAAAGCCGTTGCTAGGGTAGTCATCAGGCGTATTAATTAACAGTGTACTTACTATGCTTATTTCTCTTCTAGGATCAAGAGCTTTGTCCCTCAGTTAGCTCGCTCTCTCTCTCCTCCGCGTCTTAGCTCCGTAGTAGGCTATTTGTTAAACTTCTTAGTTAATAAACCTTGAACTTGCATTTGTTATAACTTATAAATCCCGTCGATCACGCCTTAAGCCTTGCTTCATAGCCAATTGGGTGCTGTTAACCTATTCAGCTTCCGGTAATTGGTGGGTGAGACAACTATGGTCAATACGAACCGTTAAGTGAGGTTACCGGCGATTGGTGGTCAGAGGCCAGTTCATCACATGTAGATACTGAATGCATCTGCCACGCCTAAACCTTATATACATTTTATTATAGATATTTTTGCCAGCATATTCTATTTGTACACGATTTAACTTCAACGGGGGAATTAGGGTCGTTCAACAAGTTAAATTCTAGGAATAAATTAAAATGAGACTGTGTTAAATTCTAATGAGACAATGAGTTAAATTTTAATGAGACAGTGAGTCAAATTCTAATGAGACAGTGAGTTAAATTATAATAAGACAGCGAATTCAATTCTAATGAGACAGTGAGTTATATTCTAATAAGACAGCGAATTAAATTCTAATGAGACAGTGGGTCAAATTCTAATGAGACAGTGAGTCGAATTCTAATGAGACAGTAAGTTAAATTCTAATAAGACAGTAAGTTAAATTCTAATAAGACAGCAAATGAAATTCTAATGAGACAGCGAGTTAAATTCTAATGAGACAGCGAGTTAAATTCTAATGAGACAGTGAGTTAAATTATAATAAGACAGCGAATTCAATTCTAATGAGACAGCGAGTTAAATTATATTGAGACAGCAAGTTAAATTCTAATGAGACAGTGAGTCAGTTAGTCAAATTCTAATGAGACAGTGAGTCAGTTAGTCAAATTCTAATGAGACAGTGAGTCAAATTCTAATGGGGCAGTGAGTCAAATTCTACTGAGACAGTGAGTTAAATTCTAATGAGACAGTGAAGTAATTTCTAATGAGACAGTGAGTTAAATTTTAATGAGACAGCGGGGCAAATTCTAATGAGACAGCAAGTTAAATGTTAATGAGACTGAGCGTTAAATGTTAATGAGACAGTTCACACTTCCATTATTTCCTCGCAATAAAATCGTTCCTCATTTTACTTGTCGCTCGTGCGTCACGCTCACATTTCAGCTGCAACCAATCGAATGAAATTGAAAGAATAAATTGAATTAATTAGACTATCGAGCTCATAAATTATAGCAATTATCACTATGATAAAATCTGCCTGGTCATGGACGATATAGCCTAATGAGCAGGAAATCAATTAAAAAACTCACTAATGACAGCTAATTTTCATGATTTACACTCCCACTGCAGCGCAATTTGTTCGGCACGTCTGTGTCATCATTAGCTTTTTCCATTGGCCATCGATAACCGCCTTTCATTCACTATATTTGAGAAACCACATCGAACCCTGGATCGATTTACTTCATAACGTGAGCCTTTTTGACTAGAACGAGTTTGAAGGGATTAATCATGGTCATATAACCATTATTGGTCCGGGCAATCAACCCATAATAATGACATACCATAATAATCATGGCAAACAACAATAATCATGGAAAACAACAATAATTATGACATACAACAATAATCATGGCACACAACAATGATTATGACATACAACAGTAATCATAGCATTCAACAATAATCATGGAAAACAACAATAATTATGACATACAACAATAATCATGGCACACAACAATGATTATGACATACAACAGTAATCATAGCATTCAACAATAATCATGGAAAACAACAATAATTATGACATACAACAATAATAATGGCACACAACAATGATTATGACATACAACAATAATCATAGCATTCAACAATAATCATGGCAAACAACAATGATTATGACATACAACAATAATCATGGCATACAACAATAATCATGGCATACAACAATAATCGTAGCATTCAACAATAATCATGGCATACAACAATAATCATGGCAAACAACAATAATCATCACATACAACAATAATCATGGCAAACAACAATAATCATAGCATTCAACAATAATCATCACATACAACAATAATCAAGGAATACAACAATAATCTTGGCACACAACAATAATCATGGTATACAACAATAATCATGGTATACAACAATAATCATGGCACACAACAATAATCATGGCACACAACTCATTATTGGCCTGTTGTGTCGCAGTGCATGTAATTCAACAGCACTTATATGATCTCTGCAGCGGTTTCCTCTGAAAGCGCAACGCTTAGAACGATTCAGCATAATTCTTAACCTCCTAGCATGTTAGGCGAAGATGTTGGATATCTTCTTCAAATTTACAAGTGAATGGACAATATAGTGCAATAATTGAGAAAATCTGCAGAATTAACACAAACAAGAAGCACTGGCATGGTTACAACAAATAAATATCAGATAACCACCAGGTAAAAATTAATCACCAGTATCAGATTAAACACCAGGATCAGATTAATCACCAGTTAAGTTCACAGGAACGCACAGGAAAAATTAACTAGGCAATGAACAGGTATTGCTAACATTGCAACTCCGACAGGTGAAGCGACTGGACTTCCGACGCTGGCCACAGACACATGAATAATGGCCGGCAAAGAGATTTGGAGGACACTATCTGTTATTCTAGCGGTTGCTGCCAAAAAATTGAATCTTGAATAATATATTTTATCATGAAAGTTAATGAACTGCTACCAGAATATTTCAATAATACCCAACAATATAATAAAACCCGTGAATTTATCGATGCTGCCGCCTGCCGGTGGGAAATTCACCCCGACACCTGCCAGTGATAGCACCTGCGACGGCAGATAAAAAGCTTCCAGCCATGACGCTGGAGTGTCATTTCGGTGTTGAGGCATTCAGAGAGGCAACCTTTGCAGGTGAACATAGCAAGATGAATTTAAATATTTTATACAAGTGACAATTTTGCGCAGCGTTGCAAGCTGTTGCTTGAAGACCTGACCTAGATGGTCAGGGAATTTCAAAAGTATTTTGTAATTAAGTGCGCTTGTTATAAATCAGTGAACAGATTTTACCAAAACTCTTTATGAACATCTTAGTTAATTTATAATTACTGTCATTGTGCATGTAATTAAGAAATATATTGCAAAGTGCGGCGACAACGATGTAAAACAACAACACCGAAAACTCACATTAATAGAAATACAAATGTGATAATGCCCATTCTCATCGTGAATTTGCAGAAAGAGCTTCTTTACATCAAGAAATTTTTGTTAAACATTACATTAGACTTCATGTACTGCAATATTAAAAATCATTTATTATTTATAGGATGTTTGGGGAATGTTAGCGAATAATCGAAATATAAATAACGCCAAATTGCAACATAATGCAACTCGCACTTTCTTCTTTGCAGATATTTCGGTATCAAGAAGAATCTAAGCCAGGCATCGCCATGAAGTCCATTATATTTGGTCTCTTCATCTGCCTCGTCGCCGCGCGAGTGCCGATGAATCGACTCTACGCAAGTCAGGTAAACTTATTCTAGGAGTTGAATCTAAATACTATATTGTAATGGTTGTAAAACTGAAATTTTAATTGGTTGAGCTAATTTTTATTCAATTTATACAGATTATAATTTTGAAATAAAATTCTTAATATTACGTACGATATTGCTCAGATTGGACGGATACTCTAGCGTTTGAAAATATTGTGTAAATATTTAAGAAACACAAGCGTTCCTCGAAAATAACGCTACTAACGATGAAAGTGATTTTTCACGGTGAATGGTCGCTGAAAAATATGTTCATAATAAAATGAGCAAAAATTGAATTTCCTTGACAGATTCAAGCGGGAGAAGAAAAAACTTGGAACATTGAGGAGAACATTTCAGAACACGCAAAAAATGCTCAAATGTCACGAGGGTAAGTAAAATCAGGTTGAAAACTTAATTTGAGGAAACCAATTTTAAACCACTTAGTTCGCTATCGTTTTTGCTAATCCCACCGAAGCCGTGTTTAAATCTACATTCTAGACTTTCGTACATTTCAAGCCAGAATTACGTGCAGTGCATGCCAGAATTACGTGCAATACATGCCAGAATTACGTGCAGTACATGCCAGAATTACGTGCAGTACATGCCAGAATTACGTGCATGACATGCCAGAATTACGTGCACGACATGCCAGAATTACGAGCATGACATGACATAACTACGTACATGTTAAGTCAGAATTACGTGCATGACATGCCAGAATTACGTGCATGACATGCTAGAATTACGTGCATGACATGCCAGAATTACGTGCATGACATGCGAGAATTACACGCATGACATGCCAGAATTACGTGCATGACAAGCCAGAATTACGTACAGAATAATATTCAGCAGGAGATTTTATTCTTTGGTCATCCATCGCGGGGTTTTAGCCTAAAATTGCATTCGTAAGATAATATTTAAGATTTTTTCATATTAGATATTCGTTATTATTGGATTAGATTGTATACGATACAGTATTATATTAGATGTTGTAGGTTACAGCTAAACGCTAAATAATTTGATTACTACAATATCATATATAAAATTATTAGGCTATGGCATTAAGAAGTTTGATTATTGCAGGATATCAGAAATTTCATTTAATTTTTTTCACAATTACTGCAAGGATTATCAACATCAAAGCGTTCTTGTTTACATTCGGCAGGATAACATATCAGGACAACACAACGATATGCTTCACCTGTCAATTTGATGTTGCATACCAAGCCGGCACTGGGTGTGTGACGTGTGACAATGACCCGCTCCAAAAGCATTGCGCAGCCTCTACGACTCCCTATATAAACATGACCTTCACCGAGAACTCAAAAGTTCTGTTTTGCATGACTGAAATGTCGCACTTCGCCTAAACACACCGCCAGCCCAACCACCATCATCACCACCAGCACCGATACCACCAGCACCGATACCACCAGCACCGATACCACCAGCACCGATACCACCAGCACCGATACCACCAGCACCGATACCAGCACTTTTGTTACGTCCGTTACATCTATGGCCACGGAAAATACTACTACTTCAGGTACCACCACAACTCGAAGCACTTCAACCACAACTCGCAAGGCCCCTGGCGATTTACGTACTGACATCTTGTAAAATTACCAAACCTGACATCCTCACCGCATGGAATGGAATTGCAAAAACTTATAATTGATCTTAAATATCCTGGGAATGGAGCGATGCTAATCCGCTTGAAGTGCGCGCCATAAATTGAGGGGTTCAGATAAGATCTGAATTGTAATGTTCACGAAACACGAACGGTGTTCGTAAGAGTCCAAGCAGAGCGTTTGACTGGAGGTGAAAAATTCTATTTGCTATTCCAATTGAAAACAAGAGGGTATAAAAATGCAACAAAAATTGTTTCCAATGTGCAATAAGCATGGAAAACCATGTATTTAATTTCATAATTATTGGTTACGAATTGAGGGAATAAAACGTACGTACGGGACTGAATTTGCCCGTTTGCACTCGTTTTACCGTTTTATTTGCAAAGGAGATAAGGTAAAAATGTAAAAAATCGTCGCCACTGCGCAATAAGCATGTAAAACCATGTATTTAATTTCATAATTATTGGTTTCGAACTGAGGGAATAAAACGTACTTACGCGACTGAATTCGCCCGCATGCACCCGTTTTACCGTTTTATTCGCAAAGGAGATGAAGTAAAAATGTAAAAAAAATAGTCGCCACTGCGTAATGAGCATGTGAAACCATGTATTTAATTTCATAATTATTGGTTTAGAACTGAGGGAAAAAACATAACTAAAAACGCTCACGCGCTTTTGTCCGACCGGTATCAACACGATACATATTTTACAATCTTAGTTTTTCTAGATGTAAAAATTTTATTCAATATATAGCTTTGGAAAGGCATTTTTTTTTATTCCAAATGCTGGTCGGTGATTTCGCCTGTCAAAAAGAATGCATGCAAAAATATTCAATATAAAATAGAGACGTCGCATTGTTGCAAGTTTTTAAAATTTAGGTTTGCGCCTTTCTTTCCGAATTAAATTTTTTATGTTACCTGAATACTGCTGAAATCTTTATGGACAAGTGTTTTAATTAAAGTATTGAGCAAATTTTACGCACTAAATACGTTCATGTTATGAGAATAAGTTCTTTTAATTACCAATTGTAATACCTAAAACCATATCAGTAAAACGAATATTGATCAGCTGGTTATTTTTTACTCAAGCCAAAATTTCATTTATTGCGACTTACAAAAAGTTGATCTATTCTAAAAAGAGTGAGTCATTGACAAGTTTTTCAAGGTCAGAGATAGTGTTGGCGTCATAGCGATACGCTGGTGCGAACAGCTGGGTTCTAAGCGATACAACTCATAACCAAAACGCTCGTAAAGAGGTCTAGCCTTTAATTTGGATCAGAAGTGAAACTGTGTGTAAATTTTGTATGCAATAGAATTGCAGTATAATTCACGTGTCAATCAGAATGTCTCCCAGTCCAAAATCTCCGGTGTTGTTCCGGCTAATATGCGTTCGTCAGTAAGTTGTCTTGTGTAAAGCAACTCCTACTTAGGCCTGCTAATCAAATTTAAACTAAGCTAACTCATTCGAAGTTTATTGATAATATGTATCATATTCTTTTAGTCTTGTCAAATACTTGCATTTACATGTATTCCGAAGGCAGATTTTCTATTTTCTTTCTAAAAATTGAATAGTTTGAGACGTTTCTTTTTACCTTGTCATTTTAATGAAGGTTGTGTGTCATTATCTATCTAAATTCTAAACCTACTTTCGTTTGCAGTGGAGAAACTAATGGCAACAAAGAATATAGAATTCAAGGCCACATGGACTGCCCGCTCAACGATCTGGGCAAGGAACAGGCAAGAAGGGTAAGTAGTACTAGTATCTGCACACTGCACAGGCAGACTGCAAAGAATAGCCTGTTGTCCTGCACCTCAGTTCAACTCCTTGTGGCGCACCAGATATTTTTTTAGAATCAGTTCCTTTTTAATTTCCTCATCTACTCGAGATTTAAACCAATATCTTCTGAATGATACTCATTACTCATACTCATGGGATGATGGGACTCAAAAATGAACTTGAAGAAGAGTAGGTATGAAAAAGTCTGCTTTATCACTTTGTCTTCAATAGCTAAACTTCATTCATTCAACATGATTCAAGTTGGTTGTGATTGACAACTTGAAGTTTAAACTTGTCACAAGTGTCTTGTAAAGATAAAACCTTCTTCTTTAGTGACAAATTAATTGTCATAGCCAAGTGATTTATATTCTTTTATATTATATTAAGTAATGTTTTCTTCAATTCAGTGCTTATGGGACGTGATATCTTGCATTTTTCAGCAAAGTTACCATATAGTTTCATTTTTACTGCTTTAAGCAAATTTTCATGTGCAATTTAATATTCAGCAAAATTTTTTAAACATCGCAAGTACAAATAATTGTTTCACTGTTGAATTTTTAAGGTATTGGGCAATAAGGTTCTATTTCTTCAAAAATTTCTCCAAAGAAAGCCAACCTGAGATAGGTATAGGGCAAAATTTTCCTAAAATTATGTGTAAGTGACAACAATGCTCATGTTTAATAATACTCATGCTTAATGTGTGCTAGAATTGGTGTTGCTTGCATGTATAATTTTTTGTCAACATAAATTTGATGCACTTTATTGGCAAAATAAAGCCTCAACTCAAATAACTAGGTTCACTATATTCTTTGTACTTGTACTATCTGCTTTCTCCTGAGATAGGGCTAGGACCTTCAAAATATAAAGTTCTTTCCTATGTGTGATACCTTATTTGAGTGTCTACTCCTTCAATTAAATCTCTCCAACTTGGTTAATTGACAAAGAATGATAGAATTTTTCTCTTCAAAAAGAAACATTTAGAACAAGAAATCTGCATGATTGATTACATTAAGTAATTTTTTTAATCAAGGTTATTTAAAATATATAGAAGCCAATTGCTTTTTAAAATAATTCCTTATAATCTAATGTAAATCGTTTAACCTATGTTCCATTTCTCTTCAGGCTGGCAAAGCTCTATCCCATTACAAGTTCAACAGAGCCTACTGCAGTGATCTACAGCGGACTGAACTAACTGCTAGATTCATCCTGGAGAATTCAAGCATGGAGTCACCACCACCCCTTGTGGTAGACCCTCGTCTAAAAGAACAGGTTGTGTTATCATTTGCTTGTTTAATTTATTGAATAATAGGGCGCTGGGCTTGCAATAATTTTTATTCATTTAATTTGAACATGTGTGACTAATAAATATGCACATCAGTTTAGATATTTTTGTTTTTGAGTTCAGATCAGAAATTTTTTTGATCAATAATATTTATTTTCATTCATTTCAGAATTTTGGTTGGATGGAAAACATGGTTTACGCTGATGTGATGAAAGAGCTCAAGAAGCAAAACATCTCCTCATTAGCAGATTATAAATTTGATGATGGTGTTGCTGAACCAAGATCTGCTGTAATCAATCGGGTTGTTAACTTCTTCACGACCCTCTGCCAAAGTGTATATGATAAAAACAGAAATTCTGCTTGTGAAGAGGCTTCGTCTGTAGAGTTACCAGCAATGGCTGACTCCACTGCCAATGGAGAACATGTGCAGGCAGAGGAGCTGACCAGGGAGAATATCAGAGAAGAAGACATTTGTGAGACCATACTGGTAGTGAGCCATGGGGCAGCCCTGCGCTTCTTATATAAACATATGAGCAATAACCTGAAATGCATCTTCCCCAGCACATTGGAAGTGTACCCTCGGAACACGGGTTTCTCATCCTTCCTTGTCAGGTAAGAACAGGCGTTTTTGCCAAATTTTTCAAATAACCAACAACAGAAATTCAATTGCTTATATATATCTCTTAACAGTTGATTACTCGAATTATCTTAAAAAAATTTGCTTACTTGAAGCAAACTACAATTTTTTATGATTGCCTAAACATACGATTGCAATCACAACTTGTTATTAAAACAATATGCATATATTTGTAGCTGAATTAATTCTACCATCAATATGAAGGCTTTTTGTGGTGGAAGATAAACATAGTAGTTTTTGATAAATACTAATAATTGCATCTTTAATGCTATCAGCTCTAAGGCAAAGTTTATTACCATCACTATTTCTATTGTCTAATTTTCAGATATTCTCCAAGGAACTATGCTGTTTTGTGTGAAGAGTACAACACTGCAGCTCACATCGATGACATCTCCTTGTAGTCACACAGGAATCTTGGACAAATATGGCATTTCAGGATTTTAGTCAACAAAATTTACTGTTCTGCAAAGCAGATTTGCAATTGATAAACATCAATATATTTAATGATGCTGGAATTTCGTCAATGCTGATGAATCTTTGTTGTATTGGGCTAAACAAGATGTGTTTTAATTCAGATTAACGTTCTAATCGAATCTTGCAATTTGTGTACACATGTTCATGTTTTGTAAGTAGCTTACACACATACATTAAATAGCCTAAAAAATTATCATATACAAAAATATAATAGGCGACGTTTACAATTGGAGAGGATTTAACAGTATCATATTCAGTTTGCAGCTGCAGTTAGATATTTCAATTTGCATTGAAATAGATACTCGTCTCTAAATCTTCCATATATATTCATGAATGAATTGTGTCAAGTTAACCTGACGTTACTGTTGCAGCCTGAAATGTCGAAGGCATTTATAATACTCTCGACTAGATTAAAAGCAACCTTGTTTCCTGGGTTCACTTGGTATTTGGAACAAATTTATTTATGATATAATTTTTGAATATCTTAGAATCTCGTAATATTTATCATCAGATGACGTTGACTCGAACTATTCTGGTAAGTTTCTTACTGTTCCATAACCTAATCCATTCAATCCTATCGCTCTATTTCTCTGGATGTCTGCAGATGTTTTCAAATTTTGCAGCTATGAAGTGTAATAGTAATTTACAAGGAAAACCAGTTATTACTTCCTACACCTATGATTAATTCGTATTAATGTATTTTTATGTTTGGTACTTTACATATTGATGTATGCTGCTCACCTTGATCGCTTGATTTGGGTTTATATTATTCGTTCTTATAGATGTAGCGGTCAATCATATTTGTGCTGTCTAGCTCATATTCAAGCTTATAACTTTCATGGCTGAACATTTGAATTTTGTATTGAGATTACTTTAGGAATAGGCATGATGTTGGAAAGAAAAGTTATAAAAGGCTTCAGAAGTTCTTGGCTAACATCACAAACACCTGGAAAAAGATTGTAACACAGAAGTGAACATTGAAGACCCATTGCCTCATAAATGCAAACATTGTGGTTTTTAGAGTTGCAATAATTGCAATGAATACAAGTGATTCTCTGAACGGGATGCTCGTCATTCTTGCATGTCATAGAAATTTATTGTGGAAAGCGGACTCAATTTCAAGTTTACTTTAAACAATTACAATTGCATTGAAGTTCCCTCGTTCTAGGATCCTTGAAATTATATTTTTAGTAAATTATATTCTTTTCATTTTGATTTCATCATAGTAGGTCTCGTGTCACCTTGAAATCGTCCTAACTCTTACGTATTTATTGAAACCTTCATATTATTTAACTTTTTTTCTCTCTATCTGTAGCAATATCAGGATAATGTCCAGAACATTACCTTGATGTTTTCACTAATATAAGTTTAATGCTTTCTGTGGTGGAAAGTTGATAGTTGTAAAGGGAATAAGTTTATCCATAACTTGTCAATTGATTTATACCGTGATAGTTGAATATTGATTTTCAAGCTGTCTTGTTGCCCACAAAAGTAATGGGCTTTACCCTGAACATTCAATTGACCATGCTGACAATATGAATATTTGGTATAGTTGTTAGTAGAGTTCTGCAATTTTGACGGCTAACTTTAATTCATCTTTAGTGGTTGATTTTGCAAACTATCCTGCTGGCTTTGTTAGATTCCCAGACAAATTTCAAGGGAATGCTCTGGAAGGATTGCGCTGGATATTTGAATCTTGATAATAGTACGTTTCATGTTTTTAGTTAATCATAGTTATGATTTATCAAGTTAATGTGATGATTACTTGTCGCCTTGCCGAAGCATATATAATGATTGGCCATACTGAGCTTGTCTCGTCGCAATTGAAATTTTCGAGCCAACATTGGAAAATACTTGATTTTATTGTATTTTACGTTCGGTTTTCTCAACTCTTGGTAAAATGTTAATGTTCACATGCCGAGTCGATTTTCTGCGGTTCGCCAGAATGGCAAATAAACAAGTTCCTTGAATCATTTCAATTACCCCATTTGAATTTCGCACCATGTATCGCCGCTACTCTTCCACACCCTGTCGACAGAGAAGTGGGAACGTTCTAGCTCTTGCTTATAACAGCTTGTGCTGGAAGCCTCCTAGATGGTCAAACCCTGCAAACCACCCTCTCTGTCTTAAAGGGTCGTCAGGTAGAAAGACGCAAAAGCACCTAGTGGTTACGCTGTTGGAAAAATCGTTCTTAGTGCAACGTAATCAGACCATATATTAAATTTACAAAATCTCTACACTAACATACATATCTTCCTTACCACCCAGGCGTTGTTGGTGCGTTAGGAGGCGGCCGTTAGAGGAATGATGTTGGCAAATGACGGGAGATACGCCAGTAAAGCTGCAGCCTAGGGAGGACTGTCTGTAGAGAGACGAGGAGGTCCATAGGAAAGGACTGGCAAGAGGAGATGTGGTTCGTGGTGTGGAGGTGGTCTTCACTCAGGACAAGCCGCGTTTGGGAAACGTCCACTCTAAACGTGTAGTAAACAAGATGGCTGCAAAAGCTGAGCGGTAGGGGCTTCCTCGGGGACAATGTATTTATGCAGGGAGTAAGAGCCCTTATGTCTTGCTCCCTTAAGTGTGCAGGGAATAAGGCTTCCTCGGGGGCAATGTACGTATGCAGGGAGTAAGAGCCCTTATGTCTTGCTCCCTTAAGTGTGCAGGGAATAAGGCTTCCTCGAGGGCAATGGAGGGAGGTGGGGTGGCCAGGACCCTGTTATCCAGGGCCGTTGCTGCGAAGTGAGGCGATTGTCCAGCGAATGGCTCGCCTGGCTTCACCATACAAACGAGCCTACAGGTAGGCAGCCGTCTACCAGTAAGGGGGCCACGAGATGGCCGTAAGGGGACTAAAAGGTTGCCTTCGTGGGTCTTTCCCCCAGAAAGGGCGGCGACCAGCGGGAAGGAAGAGTGACGAGTTTGGAACGCGCTTGCTAGGAACTGAAGGCAAACGAGCTCCAGGTGGGCGGTTAAGACCCCTGTTTCGTGCTAAATATTGTCAATGGCGTAGCAAGTCACAGAAGTGATTTTAAATTCATGCGCTGTCGTTTGGCCTAGGCCCGTTACGTTTACCTGCTGAACGATGTGTGTTTTTCATATGATTAGACTTAATCATCAGCCAAAAGACAAATTATTGTCGTCAAAGGGGTAGGAGTTAATAAAAAGAACGTCATTTGCAAAATAGTCATTTATGTGTAAAACGTACACTCTGTAACATTTGGAAGCTCAATCCAGTTATCAATCACCACACAAAGTCTAAAAAACACAAGGCACTATCTATGACGCAATAAATAATTCTTTGGTTCATAGGGAATGAATTGCACAATTGTCAAAGGTCTAAATTCGAGGATATATTAGTAAGTAAATTTCAGTGTACGTGTGCACACCTATCATACTACTGGCTCTGACGAATACATGTGGTTCAATAGAGTTGAAATTGATGCCTTCTGGATAATTTTGACCATATCAACATTTGAACTACTCAGTTTAAAATAAAAACACGCCCAAACTTCAACAAACAGCACGTGTAGGTATGTAAGTTAGTAATAGTCGGGCACGGGAGCGCAGACTATCTTGGTGAAGTCCTCGTAGCGAACCTGTCCATTGGGCTTGATGTTAGCCTCCCGAAATATTTGGTCAACTGAAACAAAATTATGAAATTAAATAGGAGTTAGGTGTTAACGGCTAAAGGAACTGCTCATACACTTACTCGTCAGCTTAAAAACATTGACATCTGCACGTTGATTTTGCATAATTCATAATGCTGTAAGAAATTAGAATTATTATAGCATCCTTCTACACCTTATGGCTGAACTGAGAATTGAGCAATTATGGCTGAGCAATTGAATGAGCGTTAATGAGAAATGAATGCCTCAACAGATATCACGTTCATTACAATTTAACTATCGTCAATAATTTCTTATTACTTACCAGCTTATTAAGAAAAAAGAATTCACTGCTCTCAGATATTCTCTTTGCTGTAATAGAGAGGTGCCAAGAAAAGCTTTTGTAGACTTACAGGAACTTCTCGTTTTATTACATCCGTTTGTAAAATATACTATCGTTTAGGTTGGTGGGCGGTGACTGTGTGCCCTACTACCTAGAGAAATTTCACACTCTTCTATTTTACTATTAAAGATAATGATTGTATCCATGATACAAGAGTGGTCATGGTCAACATGAAAGGGTCTCTACTATTCACGACGACTCGTCTAATTGAGTCTTGTGTAAAGTAACGAGTCTTATGGGTTTAAGTATTTATACCAGATTTTCAAATCGATTAAAACTTGAAGCTGTATTTTTCATTGAATAAACCATTCTCTAATGATTACGAAACTCAGAATTCGGCAATTGATCCAGAATCTATTCATTATTCTTTTATCATCAGACAAAACAGAATACTACCAAAATTGTAATTTATTTTCTTAATATCATTGCAATAGATTTTACTCGTTTAATGAAATGTTAAATAAATAAAAAATGTTCAATTAGATTGCCTGGGTAAGAGCTGTACTGCTAACCTTCTCGGGTGCTGAGGCGCTCCCCCCAGTGCAACAGCGTGTGACGTAGCTGCTGCGCACTGATCACACCCGTCTTGCCCGTGTCCATGGCTCGGAACGCTGCCAGAATTTCCCCTGAAACATTTTGTTGGCCGCCATGTTGGTGCATCACGTCCAGGAAGTCTGGGAAACTTAGCACTCCTCCTGCACAGGCCAGTGTTATTAAACATGGTGGAGAGAAATGACCGAGGTTAGCAACAAAATTTGATGCTATAATATATTTGATATAGGTACCTAAAGCTTGATACACCTATACCTAAATATAATACCTATAATTAAATCTTGTAGTAATAATGCAAATTTTGCAGCAATTTTGAAAGCAAAGAGATAGTTACTATTTAAAAAGATCTATATAGCATTCTCTTATTTTAAATTTTTACCCTTTTCTTTGTAGTACTTCTTTAGCTCAGAAATAGTGGGACTCATGCCAAGAGATCTCATGATTACTGTCAACTGATCCAGAGTACGAATTTGTCCCGAGCCGCTTCTGGCATACAGTGAGAAGCACTCCCTAAATTCTGAAAATCAATACAAAGTTAAATATGAAGACGTTAATAACAAATTTTAGATTCTATTTTCATTATTGCTTCAAATTTTATAATCATAAATGACAGTAATCTGTAGACTGTAGGTATATGTAAATCGCATGCATAGATTAGGTTAGTTCAATATAGGTTTAACCAAAGAACTGACTACTTAAAATAATGATTAGTTCCTTAAATTTTTGTCAGCAAAAAAAAAATAAATAAATAAATAAAAACAACCAATGCAGACTTAGCAGATAGTGGGGACTTTATCAACTTTTTATTTTTTGGGCCTATTACTAATAGAAGATTAGTAAATATCATGGACATTAGCATTGTCACACAGATATTTAATATAAATAAACTTTTAATCTAAAATGAACCGTTTTCTAAACAATCTCCTGTTTCCCCACTTTGTGTTTGTTACCGTACTACAATAGGAACCTATAGCTAAAAAATATCCTAGTTAAAAGTTAAGTGTTATGTGAATTAAAACCAACATTGATTAGTGTTAGTTTATATAATTGACCTTTCCGACTTCAGAAGTAACTTCTAACATTGTAACAAAATTAATAATCAAGGAAAAGTATCCTGCAATATACCTTAACTTATATAGGTATATAGTCAAATGGGGTAAGACAGGATTGCAGCTTTCATGGGGTAAGAAAGGACCAGCCCATGGTGTGCATTCTAATTGCACTGAATTCAATTTGACAAAAGAATATGTTAGAGCAATCCTTGCCTGTCATTTCAGTGTTTGTGGCAACCCACTTCTGCAAATAATGAATTTCTGGCTAATTTTTAAAGAAAACCTATGTAAAGAAGGGTCACAAAATAGTTAACCCTGTTTGGGAAATAAGCTCTTTCTAATGACAAAAAATTTCTTGGCCAGGTTTGTGGATGTAGGCAGTAGACTCCTGCGTCTTGAAATAATTTTCTCGAAATGAACCGGGACAGACGAAACGAGACGAGAAAATTCCGGGAAAAAAATAACGGGACAGAGGGTAAAATTTGTCCCGGAATAAACGTATGAACCGAGACAAGACTTCTGTCCCGGACTTTAAAACTTGTGTCCCGGTAAATTATGAACCGGGACGAGACAGACAGATTTGAAACGAGATATAACGAGCCGAGACGAGATTTGTCTTAATTATTTGGGACAAAACAAGTTTTTCGATTACGATACGAATCATTTTGAAAACATGGGTTGAAGAATGACAGGTTAGCCCTTTATTGCTAATAGGGACATAGACAGTTACAAGGTAAATTGAGTTAATTGCAGATGCAACATAACTTAGTGCTCTCGGCGCTGAAGGGTAGGCCTGATGTGGCCTGTCGCCAATTCTTTTCCTTTTCGTGCCTTGTTCACAGAAGATCTAAAATCGTGTCATTTGACCGGATCTTTTCATGACTGACGATAGTTTGAAGTAGCTACTAGACTT